TCATCGGGTGCATCGAGGTTTGATGCATACTTCAATACTCTCCTCGTATATTTGTCAGAGAAAATTGTATGTTTCTTAACCGATTCAATGTAAAATGGAGATTTTACGAATCGACTTGGTTGCTTGACACGCACCGATTTTGAAGGCTTCACTGGAGAGTTTTCTAGGTAACAAAGATCTATCACAATACGGTCAGACTGTTGTATTATTTGCTCATCTTTCTCAATATCCTTATCATTTTCAATATCTCTCTCAATTTTTAAATCGCCTCCATCTTTCTCTATGTTTTTCTCCATCTCTTTATCTTTATTATTGTCAATACCACCAATATTTCCCTAAGAATATAAGAAACAAATTTATATTAGATTTTTATTATATAAAGTTTGACTTTTTTAAATATTTTAACTTGTACACTTACTTATCGGGCGCCTCAAGGTTTGATGCATACTTCATTTGGACATCTGCACTTTCTTTGTCTCCGTCTTTTTTAAGAGATGCATTAAATCATGGTGAGGTAGCTATTTTGTTTACTCTCCCAAATTTTGAGCGAATTTTTGATATGTTTGTCCTCATACATCTTTGAATATGATGGACTTGATGGAAGTCCCTTTCTAAATTCTCTAATAAAACCTGTGTAAAAATATTAATATAACAAGGTTAAAGGAATAGATCAGTTGATTTAAATAATTATAACAAGTGTTAACCAAATAGAAGATTTGCTCAAATCAAATGAAATTTAACCATCTTAACATAATTAATTAGCATAATAAAAAATTTGTAGTGTCATACTATTAGATAGATTTAACTGTGTGATAAGTAATATATATTTTCACAATTAATTACCTTAACATCAGCATCGACATCGACATCGACATCATCCTCCTCCCCCTCGTCATCCTCCTTCTCTTGTGGTATAATCTATTGACAATATAAAATCATGCAATTAAAGATATAATTTAGCATAATTTGAAACATTTGTGAATGGAATAAAAACTTGAGGTTACCTTTCCGAGTCCAAATTGTCCTAATTCAGACATTTCATATTCTAGGCCCTCCTTAATTAATGGTTCAGGCCAATCACTAGCAACAATAGGGTACTTGTTCGATTTTGGATAATTGACATCAACACAGACCAAATAAAACAACTGCATGTACATTGACAAGCCACTTATAAATTGATGCAACTGATAGTTTAAATTAAATTTTAATACACTTGGGTCATGCATACCTTTAAAAAAAGTAGACTACCATTGCAACCGCTATTTTTATGTCTTTAATTTATTAACCCATTTTACCAAATCATTAAGCACACACTTTGCCCAATTGTATTGGTTGGTTTTCTTCACACCATCAACCATTCCAAAAAAGTATTTTGACACCTCATGAGCAGTGTTTGGAAACAATATGCATCTACATGCATATTGTAAAAAGTCGCTTAAAATCATCATCAACGCGTCGATCACCCCAATTTCGAAGCATCTTACCAATTTTGGCAACATTCAAACTCTTTTTTTTTTTTTTTTTTTTTTCATGAAACCACCTTCTTTCACCTTACTCCAGTTGGTTATACCCTTGTCTCCTTCTGATTTCACCATTACTAAGTGACCACTGGGTATCCCAAGAATGTGCTCGATATCTGTCGCTGTTATCAGAATAAGTTTATCATAAAGCCTCAAACCGCATCTGTGCTCGTCAAAATTTTCTATCAGGTACTGACAAAGATATTGGTTTAAGTGAGTACACTTCAACTCAAGAAGATTTCCAAAACCTATATCCCAAACAGCAGAAATCTGGTCTTCTTTAAAACTAGATATAGTTTCAAAAAAAATCTTCACTAGCATTGTGCTCACTTTTATTTTTCTGTAACAAATTACAAAATAATAAGTAAAAAAATTGTATCTTGATAAATGTGCTACCTAATAAATTTATAATATTAATAATCAGTGATGAGAGAAAACCAAATATAACACTACAAAATAGTCTTCAAAGAATTGTAAAAGGGGACGTCATTTTATTCTCCACATTGTAAAAATACATAACAGTATTCAAAAAATTGTAATAAACTAGAACCCCTTAAATATGGCTATCAACTACCCATACAATGTAGAAATTCTTACCTTAGACCTTTTACGTTTTTTCTCCTCTTTCTTTTTCTCAGTATAAGACACCATATTCTTTTTGTATTGATCTCTAAATGGCTTTTTATCAATTTCTGACATCGAATTCCGTTCTTTTGAATACTCTTTGTTTTGCCCCACCACATTTGTACCAGTTTTTTTTATTTTGTTTCTTAATAACATGATATAAAATAAAATATATTAAGAACAACAAAATATATACATAAAATATTTTAACTAAGTAATATTTTATAAAATTTGTACCTATATAATAAGTAGCAATTAGCCGGCTTATGTTGAGTATTTTCCACATTTGCAGGACTCGAGGAAGTAGCTTGACGTTTCCATTTTACACCAGTTGAATGTCCCATCATTAAACTATAAATTAAAAAAAAAAAAAAAAATTGTTCGTAATGCTGGTCTTAGTCCCAATCAAAATGGTGGAAGGTAATCTAAAGAAGAAGGAGGGTACCAAGAATAGCTATCAAATTAGCTCTAAAGCATACTGAAACATATGTATCATATTCCATATTGAAAGATAAAGACATCTGTGATGATGTTGAATATAAGGGGAAGAAAAAAATTACAGAAAAAGTATATACAAGGGGGACCCTCATCATATTAACTATAACACAGACAATCTGTAACACCCCAAAAACTGAAATCCAAGAACTCTTGTCTCGTATTAAAATCTGGCATGACCTTCTTTACACAACCACAACTTTACAAAAAATATAATTAAATAAAGAAGTAGATGTAAATCACCCTCTAATTTATTAAATCGATACAACCATAATAACAATCAACCTTGTCAAAATAATCCATGATAACTGGACAAAATGAACTAAATCTCAAAAATATATCGTCATTCTTATTACAATGGGAAATTAAACTAAACCAAAGAATACGAAAAGCTAGCCAAAATCCGTCACCATCATGTGATCCCATCACGTTCCTACTCTACGAGCACCTAAAATGTGATAATGGGGTGAGCTCACAAGCCCAGCAAGAAATGCTAAACACAATCACTGTTTAGCAAGCTAACGTTACCTTGTATTCCCATATATATAAGCAACTCAATAAATGCATTAATTAAATATGCATATTCCAGTTAATTAAGGACTCATTAAATATTGTATTCCCATATATGATCACGTCCACACAATAAGAGCTCATTAAACCCATGGCCATAATAAAAGGGTAGTGCACTCCCAATAGGCATGTCCCTGACCATACCCAAAAGTCATCATAGGGTCAGTCCCTCACTACCCCTCCGACTAATCCAAATTCATTCATTAATTATTAATTATGATGAATTATGAAAGATATCATTAATTAATGATTCATATTAATAGTTAATGCACCCAAATATCATTTTAATTTAAAAACAGAACCCTAATGATCCAACTAGTGAGAGTACAAAATTTCTGGACATAGCCTAACATTAGATATAATACCCTGCAAAATTTCAGAATTTATCTCTTAATAAATTTTCCATACTCTCCCTTTTAGTATTGAGAAAAAAATACTTTTTGGTTTTAATTTAGTTAACCTACCTAAACATCATCTAAAAATCAGTAAGTTATCACATTTAAGTCCATTATGATAAAGTCTAATATTCTAGAATTTACTTAATTTTTGAAATATGAAAACTATTTATTTCCTATTTTTCTTCTGTTTAAATCAAATAAAAATAGTAATTAATTAAAAGAAAAAAAAAAACAATTCTGTTTTGCATAGGAGACCCATTTTGGGTTCTCCTTCCCTACTTATCCTACTTAATTACCATTACGAATTAGATTTCACAGCCAATCCACCTAAATTGCGTACCTCTGAAGTCTAACCATTAAACTAGTCATTTTAAACACACTGTTCTATACCCAAAGATGATCCCAGTTCTAATAATACTTGAACTAGGCCTTGACAAAGTATATATCATACATATATAAATCTATATTTAACAACACAAGCATAACCATCTATGTATTGTGCACGTATATGAAAATTCCATACAATTCTTGAAACTAATCCTCACATGAGGCTACATATATTGCCATGTGTATCACACATCTTTCATCTATTCTAGAAAAAAATAACTATCATTCTTTACTCTAAATTTAACCAATAAGTTTTATAGTCATATTCATTAGTCATGGTCAGTATACACTTACGTCAAGTCTTTTAATCATTGCAATTTATCATTGCAAAACTAGGTTTCATAAGAAACATTTATAATATTGTCATAAGAAATTAAGAACAGAAAGTCATAACAAGCAAGCTAATTCCAAGGATTTATGCAATTCACGTATACATATCTTCATTATCCAGTTATCATTAAATTAATTTACTGCAATAGATAAAAACATGCTACAAAAATTTTCAATCAATCCAAATAGGCAAAGTTACGTGTATATATAAGTATACAAAGCAAGATTAACTTGCCTGGGGTAAAATTAATTCTTCCGTCCTACGCGAATTCCAGATTATCGTTCCTTCCCTCGGCTATTGCAGAAAGACACGACGTCAGATCACTCTCTCTGGATCTCCGTCCTATCATGCTGTATCGTGCTAATATTATATATATATTTTTTAAAAAATAATATCCTCGTAGAATTGATATGACGTGAAATATAAAGATAACTATAACTGCATTTGAGATAGTTTAGGATTCCTATTTAAATTTTAAATTTAAAAACTCTAATATCTCTACTATAATTTTAAATTCAAACATAGATAACCATTAAATAAAATAAAATAAATAAATATATGTATATACATACATACATATATATATATATATATATATATATATATATATATATTTACACGTGTTTTACGTTCTACCCTCCTAGAAAGAAATTTCGCCCTCGAAATTTGCGTACCTTATTCGAATAGATGTGGATACTTTCCCTTCATTTCTGACTCTAGCTCCCAAGTAGCCTCTCTCTCATCCTGATGATTCCACTGCACCTTCACCAGAGGTATCTCTGCCCGCCTCAACTGTTTCACTATACTGTTAACAATGCGCACAGGCGTCTCAACATAGGTCGTATTAGGGCGAATCTGGACCTCTGCGCAGTCAATGACCTGAGTCTCATCCCTCAAGCACCTCCTCAACATAGAGACATGGAAAACATCGTGAACAGCTGATAGTCTAGGTGGTAGAGCCAATCTATACGCCACCTCCCCAATCCTCTCTGTAATCTCAAAAGGTCCGATGAATCGAGGAGCTAACTTCCCTTTCTTTCTACCAAATCTCGTAACCCCTTTCATTGGTGATACTTTCAAGAATACCAAGTCACCCAGACTAAACTCCAAAGCACGATGGCGTCGATCTGCATAACTCTTCTGTCGACTCTGAGCTGTGCGAAGTCGATCTCGAATGATGGTAACCTTCTCCGTAGTCTCTTGCACCAACTCTAGCCCCAAAAAACTACCATCACCAACCTCAGCCCAACATATAGGTGAATGACAAGGTCTACCATAAAGTGCCTCATACGGTGCCATGCCGATACTAGCCTGATAGTTGTTATTATAAGTGAATTCAACCAGTGGAATGTGATCCTCCCAACTGCCTCAAAAATCTAGCGCACAAGCACGAAGCATATCCTCCAATACCTGAATGACCCTCTCGAACTGGCCATCGTTCTGAGGATGAAAAGCAGTACTCAAACTCAAAGGAGTACTAAAAGCTGCATGGAAATTACTCCAAAATCGAGATGAAAATCGAGGATCACGATCTGAAACAATAGACACCGGCACTCCATGGAGCTTAACTATGTCTCTGATTTAGATCTTACATAATTCCTTTACAGTATCAGTAGCTCGAATGGGTAGAAAATGAGCTGATTTAGTCAATCGGTCCACTATCACCCACACTGTATCATGGTTATGTATCGATCTCAGTAACCCCACAACAAAATCCATCGTCACATGCTCCTATTTCCACTCAGGCACAGGCAAAGGCTGTAATAGTCCTGCTTGTCTTTGGTGCTCAGCCTTCACTCGCTGACAAGTGAGACATCTAGATACAAACTCTGCTACATCACGTTTCATGCTTTCCCACCAGAACTGCTTCTTAAGATCATGATACATCTTAGTGCCACCTGGGTGCACTGTATACCTAGAGTGGGGTGACTCCTCTAAACTCTCTCTCTTGAGATCTGCTAAGTCTGGAACACATAGTCTACCTCGAAATCTCATACCACCATCAGCTCCATATATCCAGTCGACATTACATTCATCATTAACAGCCTCAACTGCTTTGGTCTGTAACCTGTCATCCTGAGTTTAAGCATAAATGATCTGGCTGATCAAAGTAGGTTGTACAGTCAATCTATAAAGAAGAGCCCCTGTACTCTGAGAACTCGGCATGATAGAAAACTCTGCCAATGCCTCTAATATCATCCACTCCTGAATCATTATAAAGGCAACTAATCCTTTCGGTTTCTGACTCAAGGCATCTGCTACCACATTCGCCTTTCCAGGATGATACTGAAGGGTCATATCAAAATCCTTCATCTTCTCCATCCACCTCTGTTGCCTTATATTCAACTCCTTCTAAGTGTAGAGGTATTTGAGGCTCTTGTGATCAGAGAATAACTCAAATTCCTCGCCATACAAGTAATGCCTCCACACCTTTAATGCAAGAACCACTGCTGCCAATTCCAGGTCATGTGTAGGGTAATTTTGCTCATGTGGCTTAAGCTGCCTAGAGGCATACGCTACCACCTTATCATCTTGCATTAAAACACAGCCAAGACCCTAATGTGATGCATCTGTGTAGATCACAAATCTCTCACCATTAGCAGGAATGGTAAGAACTGGTGCTGATGTCAATCTCGTCTTATATCAGCACCAGCTCCTCCAATGCCTGCTCACAGCGGTAGTCCCAAACAAACTTCACATCCTTCCGAGTCAAACGGGTCAAAGGTGCAGCAATCTTGGAGAAACCCTCAATGAAGCGCCTATAATATCCTGCCAGTCCCAAGAAACTACGAATCTCAGTGATAGTAGTAGGCCGTTTCCAACTCATCACAGCCTCCACCTTGGCAGAATCTACTGAAACTCCATCCTTAGAGATCACATGCCCCAAAAACTGAATCCACTCCTGCCAAAAGTTACACTTCTCAAACTTAGCATGGAGCTAATGCTCACGCAAAGTCTGAAGTGTAATGCTCAAGTATCTCTCATGCTCCTCCTTAGTCTTGGAATATATCAGGATGTCATCAACAAATACCATAACAAACTGATCCAAGTAAGGTCAAAACACTCTGTTCATCAAATCCATAAAAGTTGCTGGAGCGTTAGTCAACCCAAAAGGCATGACTAAGAACTCATAGAGGCCATAACGAGTCCTGAAGGCAGTCTTAGGAATATCCTCCTCCCTAATCCTCAGCTGATGGCTCCCAGTCCTCAAGTCAATCTTAGAGAATAACTGCGCCCCTCTGAGTTGATCAAACAAATCATTAATACGGGGCAATGGGTACTTATTCTTAATAGTGATCTTATTCAGCGCACGGTAGTCAACACATAAGCAGAGTGACCTTGACAAATAAAACAGGTGCTTCCCAAGGTGATGTGCTAGGTCGAATAAACCCCCGATCTTGTAACTCTTGAGTCTGCTTCTTTAACTCACTCAATTCAACTGGTGCCATTCTGTAGGGTGCCCTAGAGATAGGTGAAATACCAGGAGTGAGGTCGATGCAGAAATCCACTGCCCTCTTAGGAGGCAAACCCAGAATATCCCGAAACACATCTGTATACTCTGACACTATAGGCAACTACTCTATTGTCACGCATTGCTCAACCACCTTGATGTGGGCCAGAAATCCCATAGTCATGGTGCCCTCGAACTCCCCACACTTATATCGAGAAGGTAACTGTCCCAGAACTGAAAATACAATAATCCTCTCATGGCAGTCCAACTGAGCATGATATCTAGCCAACCAATCCATACCCAGTATAGCATCAAAGTCTCTCATATGTAATACTATCAAATCAATAGGATACTCCAACTCCCCAATTGTAACAGGGTAAGCGCAACTTTTTTTTTCTAGTGTCGTCGCACTCCCGAGTGGAGTTGTAATAGATAAGGCATTACTCATATGTCCAAGTTCTAATCCCAGTGTATCCACAAATGATAGTGCAATAAAAGAATATGAAGAACCTGAATCAAATAGTACTCTAGCTATACTGCCATAAATAGTAAGTGTACCTTCCACTGTTGGTGGTGCACGATCCTGTCTCCCATCTGGAACAACTGCATAAACCCTTGCACCTCTTTGCTGCTGTGGTGCTTGACCTTTCTGCTGGTTATTCTTGTGAGGCTTGGGACAATTACGAGCCAAATGTCCTTGCTCACGACAATTGTAGCAATGCCCGCTGAACTGATATGGCTGTGCATCATGAGGTGTGGCTAGTACTAAAACTGTGGATTGCTCACCTTCACCAACTCTCTGTCGTTTCCCTGCTCGCCAATCTTGTCTACCTCTTTGCCAAGACTGACCCTGCCAGTTTCTCTGAGTCTGCTGCTGTTGAGAGCTGCTCTGATTCTGTTGAGAACTGCTAACCCCCTTACTTTTCTGTTCTGCCTTACGCTCCTTCTGTTTCTGGAAGGTAATGCTATTATTCTCCTCTACTGCCATGGCACATTCCACCACTTTAACATAAGTGTCAAAACGATGACCCACCACAAACTTCTTCACATAAGAGACCAATCCTTGCTCAAACTTTCTAACCTTATGTAACTCATTCGCAACAATGTGAGGAGCGAATCGGGATCACTCTGGAAACTTCCTCTCATACTCACTGACTGACATATCATTATTCTGTTCCAGCTGCATGAACTCTGCTGCCTTCTTCTCCTTCACTTATTGTGGAAAGTATTTGTCGTTGAACAGAGTTTTAAAATCATCCCAGGTCATAGTTGTAATGTCCACAACCATCCTGGTCTCTGACTGCCACCACTGGCGCGCCTTACCAGATAAAAGAAATGCACCAATCTTCCTTTTATGTACCTCAGTGCAATCCATCATCTCAAAATATCTTTCCAAATCTTCAATCCACTTCTCAGCGTCAAGTGGATTGGTAGATCTAACGAAATCAACAGCCCCCAATTTGCGTATATCTCTGATAAATCCAATCATAGGATTCAGCACATGAGGTGCATCCTCCAACTGAACATTGTCATGGTCAACACCACCACGACCGGCACCTCCCTGACCTCTACCTCTAGCAGGTCGTCCTCTGCCTCTTCCAACTCCTGACATCCTATTTTCAGTAAAGAATGTCAATGATAAGTCTCACAAGAAATTTATACTTTAAACAGGAGCATGGTAAGAGAGCAATAATTTGTATAAGTATATGCTCCTATTCTTACTATCACTTCTCTTAGCCAGGTAATTCTTAACCTAGGCTCTGATACCAAACTGTCACACCCCAAAAACTGAAGTACAAGAACTCTTGTCTCGTATTAAAATCTGGCATGACCTTCTTTACACAACCACAACTTTACAAAAAAGATAATTAAATAAAAAAGTAGATGTAAATCACCCTCTAATTTATTAAATCGAAACAACCATGATAACAATCAACCTTGTCAAAATAATCCATGATAACTGGACAAAATGAACTAAATCTCAAAAATATATCGTCATTCGTATTACAATGGGAAATTGAACTAAACCAAAGAATACGAAAAGCTAGCCAAAATCCATCACCATTATGTGATCCAATCACGTTCCTACTCTACGAGCACCAGAAATGTGATAATGGAGTGAGCTCACAAGCCCAACAAGAAATGCTAAACACAATCATCGTTCAGCAAGCTAACCTTACCTTGTATTCTCATATATATAAGCAACTCAATAAATGCATTAATTAAATTTGCATATTCCAGTTAATTATAAACTCAATCAATGACCATCATTTATTTTTGATAAATCTGTATATCTCACATGAGCCCCGGGCTCCCGTCCAATAAAGTGGTGTGAATCGTATAGTCCCTGACTACCAAAAATACACGTGTGGCTGGATTGTACGTCTACTCCCCAGATGATCCCTGATCACGTCCACACAATAAGGGCTCATTAGACCCATGGCCATAATAAAAGGGTAGTGCAATCCCAATAGGCAGGTCCCTGACCATACCCAAAAGTCATCATAGGGTCAGTCCCTGACTACCCCTCCGACTAATCCAAATTCATCCATTAATTATTAATTATGATGAATTATGAAAGATATCATTAATTAATAATTCAAATTAATAGTTAATGCACCCAAATATCATTTTAATTTAAAAATAGAACCCTAATGATCCAACTAGTGAGAGTACAAAATTTCTGGACATAGCCTAACATTAGATATAATACCTTGCAAAATTTCAGAATTTGTCTCTTAATAGATTTTCCATACTCTCCCTTTTAGTATTAAGAAAAAAATACTTTTCGGTTTTAATTTAGTTAACCTACCTAAACATCATCTAAAAATCAGTAAGTTATCACATTTAAGTCCATTATGATAAAGTCTAATATTCTAGAATTTACTTAATTTTTGAAATATGAAAACTATTTATTTCCTATTTTTCTTCTGTTTAAATCAAATAAAAATAGTAATTAATTAAAAGAAAAAAAAAAACAATTATGTTTTGCACAAGAGACCCATTTTGGGTTCTCCTTCCCCTACTTATCCTACTTAGATTACCATTACGAATTAGATTTCACAACCAATCCACCTAAATTACGTACCTCTGAAGTCTAACAATTAAACTAGTCATTTTAAACACACTGTTCTATACCTAAAGATGATCCCAGTTCTAATAATACTTGAACTAGGCCTTGACAAAGTATGTATCATACATATATAAATCTATATTTAACAACACAAGCATAACCATCTATGTATTGTGCACGTATATGAAAATTCCA